TCTAATTACATCGGATGTAAAGTAAACAGGAAGAGGAAGAAGATGAAGGAGAAGAAGGAGAAGAAGAAGAAGAAGAAGAAGAAGAAGAAGAAGAAGAAAGAGAAGAAGAAAGGATGGTGATGATGAAGTAGATCTCATTAAGAAATGGTTATGTTAATAAAAAAGAAGAAAATCAACAAAGTTTACATGAGTGAATATGAATATAAAAGAACAATGTGAAAAGAAAACAAACAAACAATAACAACATTGATATTTAGTTATAAACATGTTATTCATGTAGATCATATATACATCCTGTATGGATTAATTCGATATTGACTGAAGTTACATACATTATAAGCAACGATGGATAGTGGCTAACAGTGGAATCCAAGACGCGCATTACGTCATATTTGAAACTTATCAGCTGAATGTACCTGAATCTCAGAGTTGATTTTTACCTTAGGACTCGAACCCACTACCGTTTGACTTAAACAATATCAAGTGAATTTAAAACGTCATCCCATTGTACAATCAAGTGGTTATCAAGACTCAGTAGCTAAATGGATAAAGCGATGACATTTAAAGCAAATGTTATTGGGTTAGAGTCTCGAAGTGAACATCAACTCTATGATGTAGTTACATCTAGTTGATGAGACCTAAATAAGACGAAATACACGTCCTGGATTCCACTATTAAAGTCCATTAATCTTAGTTTATAATTGTTACACTTAATCAATTGTCTCAAACTTCATTTTTCATTCATTTCCACACTAATCATTCAATTTTCATCGAACTTCTTAACTATCTGTTGTTAGATATTTCACTTTCGATTGATGATACATATGTGGTGTGAGCTACTTATATTGACATAAGTAGTATATAACGTGCGTTAAAAGAACGTAATGTCCGGCAGCAAAAGATGGCGAAGACTAAGAAAGGTGGAGCGAGAACATAATGGAATTTGTAAGAAAACCTATGAACAATGGAATGGGAGACAATAGATTGGTGTTTGCAACAGAAACAATTCAGTTTGGTTTGATGCGTGAATATTTTGCAAATTGACGATTTAATATATGGTATTCAGATTTTGTTGAGATAGACTGTAATTGTTGTGCTAAATACATTCGATTGTCCCCACCCGTGTTCTTGTTCACTACATTTGGTGTCGCTGCCAACCGGGAGAGGAGGAGGGTGCTGTTCTGCGGACGCCGTTGCGGGCCTGGGGCTGAGGTGCCAGTTGGGGCAGTCTGGTGCGGAGAGGCGTGGTCTGGTGGAGTGTTCTGGCGGGGCGGCGTTGGCTGTAGCGGGTGCCGTCGACGGAGAGAAGCGGTGGGACGCGCGGCTGCTGGGCGGACATCGGATGTAGATGGCTCGGCAGGCCGGTGGAGTGCGGGTGTTAAGCGTCCCAGGTGCCGGGTGGATGTCGGTCGTTGTTGCCCCGGCAGGTCGACGGAGCTATGGAAGTCAGCGCGCCGCAGACTCGACATTTTGACGGAGAGCGCGGCACAGACTGCAGAGACGGAGAATGTTGCACGGCGAGCATGAACCACCACAAGGACGACTGTTTTAAAGGGGGGGACGAGTGTGGTGTGAGCTACTTATATTGACATAAGTAGTATATAACGTGCGTTAAAAGAACGTAATGTCCGGCAGCAAAAGATGGCGAAGACTAAGAAAGGTGGAGCGAGAACATAATGGAATTTGTAAGAAAACCTATGAACAATGGAATGGGAGACAATAGATTGGTGTTTGCAACAGAAACAATTCAGTTTGGTTTGATGCGTGAATATTTTGCAAATTGACGATTTAATATATGGTATTCAGATTTTGTTGAGATAGACTGTAATTGTTGTGCTAAATACATTCGATTGTCCCCACCCGTGTTCTTGTTCACTACACATACTACTTATATTTGTTGACATCAGTAGTATACACCAAAGTTATACTATAAGATGTTTATTTTGTAAGATGATTACATGTATATTTTAGAGACATTAAGAAGAAGTTGAACATGAAAATATAAACAATGAAAATTCACTATCTTATTAATCAGTTTGTCATCTTCGCCAAGTATTGTTATAGTGAACGAGAACATAAGTGGGAATAATCGAATGTTATTGAACACATCGATTACGTAACATCTTAGTAAAATCTGACAATGATACAGTGCAATACTTCATTTGCAAAATGTTAATCAATCATCTCAGACTTCATTAGATTCCCCAAGCCCCCCCCCTTCACTCCACAAAAAAACATTTTCTCTCTTTATGATAAAAACAATACTGAACATTTTCTTAAGCTACCAGAAATGATAAATAACTACAGATAACCTTAAGGAAAGATAAACATTGAAAAGAATAAGACTGATATCTTTAAAATTAGGTTTTCTGAATATCTATTACTTACGAAAGTTAAGCGTATGATATATATACATGTGGTGTGTACTACTGATGTCCACAGATATAAGTAGTATGAATCACCAGTCGAGAGTAAAATACCTGGTGGTAGAAAGTTAAGAAGATCGAAGGAAAGAGAACGAATACAGAGACTGATTGATGTAGAAAAGAAGAAACAATGAAGTCTAAGACGATTGATTGATATGTTGCAAATAAAGTATTTACTGTATGATTCTAAAATTTAACTGAGATATTATGTCGTTTTGTAGTCGAATACATTCGATTGTCCCAAGTTGTGTTCTCGTTCACTATGAATACATACAATGTATAACAAGTAAATGAAAAAAATGTTTTTTTTTAATCTGAGGATCGAATTGTTTGAATAGAAATTCCCTACCGAAATGTTAGAACTAATAAGAAGATCCAATCATGAAAAGTTTGTGATGATGTAAACAAGGATTCTACTGAATATGTATAGTGAGGAAGGGGTTTTGTGTAAATTGTAGTAATTTAATAGTTGAATTCATGAGTCAATTAAAGCTAGACCACTGTTGTAAACCTGGAAACACTGAACGACTATTTCGTTCTAGTAAAGGACTCCTCAACAATGTGCATCTACGAGCTCACTTAACCTTCCGTTTGCAAAACCAGCATCCACTGGTGTTAATGTTTAGTTTCAACCACTCCACGAAATCGCAGCACTGTCCAACATTATTTTCAGTGATTTACTATCTGAAAACAGACCCGGTTGAACTCCACTGATTACGTCTTCTTACTAGAACTCCAGAAAATACATTTTAAATGAGCACTGTTAAGAAGTCTCATATTAGGATGAAATGGCCGTCCAGTGCTTCCAGATTTTTCATGGTGGTCTAGCTTTAATTGACTCATGAATTCAACCATTAGAATGAATATGTAGTAGTTTTTTTAAGGAAAGGTTCGTGAAATGTTTTATGATTCACCGTAATAACAACACCTATACTATAACTATAACATATAACTTGAATTATCTGTTATAACTTGTGAACCTGAGTGCCCTATTTATTGTATAACGCAACGATACTGCCAGTCAGAGAGCAGCGAACTACCGATCGAACCAGTGACGCACAAAACACGTGCGACCAGCCTAGAGTCCTGATTGGTCCTGCTTTCCGCCTAGCCCAGCCAGTTGAGTCCAGAACACCAATCTCAGCCTCTGAGATATGAATCATTTATTCCAAACATCCTGGGTTTATATATCAACCAGATAGACCACATCGTACCATAAAATAGGAAACAAAATTTGTACAGGAATTAGCCAAATGTGACTGTGAATGTGGGAGGTAGTGATTAATAGACAGGGTGTAATTCAAGAATGGTAGATCGTATAATAATAGTTCATAGATCAAATTAAAGCTTATAATAATAGGGATATGAATATGAACAGTTTAGTTACTTAACAATTAAACAATAAAAATATACTCATAGTATTGGCTCATAAATGAATCCCAACAGTTACCATTCATTATTGTCATCGGGTTATAACACAATCAGTGATAATCAATAAATCAACTAAAGTTTCAAGACTTTTGCACATGAGATTGACATGATGTATACTAAAAAAAGGCATTTTTACTTCTATAAATGACAAGTATAATGGATTGTATGAAAAATATTCATTGGGTGGGACTATAATTTATAGACGACCGTTGAACGACGTTAGACTGACCTTCAGAGTGTCCACCTGAGAACTACAACCAAATGAGGATTATAAATCTGTGTGAAGACCTTGAATAATGAGTTACAGTTGATGGTTAAGATTAGGAATTAGATTTACGGTTTTTCATCACGAACTGACTTCAGCTATAATGCTAAAACTCTATTTAACCAAATGAATGAATGAATTTCACACCAGAATCCCAGATATGTTATCTTATACCTGATTGGTTCGTCCATATATTATAATCATTTTAATGAAACGAATGTTTTACAGTTAGAAATGAGATAATTAATGGTAATGCATGGTACTTACGCTATTCCATGAACTAATTGAAGTTTAAAACTTAAACTATTGAATCCAAACTCGGTTGTTTAAATATACCGTAATTGTCAAGCAACTTAAAAGTTTTGTGTTTTTTTTTAAAAAAAAGTCTCACATGGTTATGGTTATGAGTATTGATTACTGATCCCACCGGAAGGACTTAGATGCTTTTTATTTTTAATCATTTTCAAGTTGAAGTCAATCCATAATAAAAATTATTACAATTACCAGTACAGGGTTGTGGAGATTATTAAGTTTTTGATTAAAATCATGAACCGGTTGATGTTAGATCACTACTGAAAAACTGGAAACATTGGACGGTCGTCTCGTCCTATTATGAGACTCCACTAGGAAATAGATCTTGGATGCGCACTTCTGAGCAGTCCTACAATATAACAATTATCTTAAAACCAACATTTGTTAGGATAGAAAGTGTAATTTATGATGTATGCTATTTATATATGTCGATGTAAGTAGTATATAACATCGACTGGAAGTGAAAAGGATTGCTTGAGACGGGGTTAAATGGAGAGTGTTGGTGGGCGGCCTATGTTCCTCCATGAGGAGTAACAGACGTATATATATTCTATCTTAATACTTACCTTCTAAAAGAATGGAATAATTATTTTGTAAGTTATATTGAAGTTCCATTGATGATTTCATCATATACTTCTTGATTACTTCATTGAATGTCTTTAACTAAAATCAAAATCAAAAATAAATTAAGGTAATAACATTCGATATCGTCTTTTATGGATCACATTACAGTATAATTGACCTCTGTTTCAATATTTTTAGATTAATTTCAGTGAACATATATTAAGAGTTCTAAATGGTAATCAACAAGTGTATCGTTCAAGTTTGAAACTTCTCAGAATTGTTTGATAATTACCTCCCTGACGAATTCGATCGCAGGATTTCAAGATTTCCCAGACGTTTACTGACTTCTTGATTACAAATTGAACAAATGTTTCTAAACTACTTATCTATGTTGGAACTTTTATCCCGTACACGAACAAATGCAGATGAAGACAACTAGTGTAACAGCAGCCTCTAGATCATTAGGCCTCAGTATACATAAAGGAAAAATCAAGATCCGCAAATACAACACGGAGAACACCAACCCAATCACAGTTGATAGCAAAACTCCGGAAGATGTGAAATATTTCACGTACTTGGGAAGCATCATGAATGAACAAGGCAAAACAAGGGTCACATTCGTACAGCTGAAGGAAACATGGAACTAAAAACAACTGTCAACCAACATAAAAGCCACAACCTTCAATACCCACGTCAAGACGGAGCTGAAACTTGGAGAACTACAACAACCACAATCAAGAAGTTACAAGTATTTATAAATAGTTGTCTACGCAAGATATTCGACATCCATTGTCCGGATAACATCAGCAACAGCCTTCTGTGGGAGAGGACAAATCAGCTTCCAGCTGAGGAGGAAATTAAGAAAAGACGTTGGAATTAGACAAAGTACACATTATGGAAATCATCAAACTGCATCACGAGGCAAGCCCTAACTTAGAATCCTGAAGGGAAACACAAAAATTAAATATATCATCATTGATCATAACTTCACTGTTATCAATGTATAGTAAAACACAACAAAAGATGTTTCAGTAAACGATCTATATGTCTGAAAGCTGTATAACCGATAATGTGAGAGGTTGAATTTTCTTCTAGCCAGAGTTTTAACGTATATTTAGGTATCTGCTTTTGAACATTTGTAGTGTTGGTTATTATGTTAAGCCCGCATATCTTATTCTACCTTCTCTGCAAACCAATTTATCAATTCTTCTCAAGCTACATCTTGACCTTGTTAATTATTCTCTTATCAGCCTTGACTGTTTTCATATGAGCGTATGTATGTCACAATTGACTGATCACTGAGTGGTGATCAATGTCATGTGTATCGAGTCCTTCTTAGCATAGATCAAATGCTATCAACCAAGTTGCATTGTGGCCAATAATCTAGGTGACTCAACATTGAGTGCACTATGTTGGGAGCACCAGTTCCCTCACGATTACAGGTACACCTTACTGACGAGTGCCAAGTAGTACGAATCACGGGGCCAGGGTTTCCTGCTGACTACCTCCAACCACCAGCGTATGTATGTGCACATCTTATCGTACTCATCACATATCTGTAGCTTATTTCTATCTGACTATAAATGCTGATTAGGGCTTGCTTAAATCGAGTTGGCTCATAAACCTTCTCCATTGCACATCTTTTCACTTGACTCTGTTTTCACTTCGCTTTCTTTCTTCGATAGTTTGTCTGAATCAACGATTATATGAAATACACGTATTCGTAATTCATTCTTGTATTTGACTTATTTAATTCCATTATACCTTAACGCGATTTAAGTCGATGATTATATACAAGGGTTGGTGACATGTATATTTCAATAACAATCATTTATCCAATCTAATTGGAGTCAGATATAGGGCCACTAAAATCCATTTCAGTAGCCATATGTTTGGTCTTCACAAGTTACAAATATCCAATATAATATCTAATACTTACATTAAGGTTAAGTAATCACTTGTGAGCAAATGTTTCAAGTTACTATATTTGCTGAGTGACCATTTACTAGTTTAATCATTAATACCTTTTATATCTCCGTCAACCAACACCAAATTCAGAATTTTTAATACAAATGACAAGACAGTTCTACTGTATGGATAGGAAAGGTGGAGAACTACGAAAGCCATAATCCAGAAGATACAAGTGTTTATTAACAACTGTCTACGCAAAATACTTCGGACCCGTTGCCCGGGCACTAATAGCAACAACCTATTGTAGGAGAGAACAAGCCAGATCCCAGTGGAGGAAGAAATCAAGAAGAAGTGCTGGAAGTGGATAGGACACACATTGAGGAAAGCAACCAGCTGAGTCACAATGAAATCTCTCACTTCGAATCGTCAAGGCCAAAGGAAAGGAGGAAGTGCGAAGAACACATTACATCGAGGAATAGAGACAGACATAAGAAAAATGAACACGAATTGGATGGAACTGGAAATGAAGGCCCGGAACAGAGTGGGTTGTAGAATGCTGATCGGCGGTCTATAATCCATTGGGAGTAACAGGCGTAAGTAAGTAAGTAAGTCTTATATTTGGTTAATGATATTTCTATTCTCTTGACTATATTGAGCCAGAAATATTTATATATATATATATATATATATATATATATATATATATATATATATATATATAATTTATGGATGGACTAATCAGATTTACAATAACAAATCTTGAATTTTGGCGCCAACTCAATTCATACATTTGGTTAAATGGAGTTTTAGCAGTATAGCTGATATTAGTTCATGATGATAAACTTAAATCTAAATCTTTATCCTAACTATCAACTGTAAATATTAATGGTAATTCTTTGCCCTGGTTTCTAATCATCATTTAGCCATAGTATGTATATGAACATTCTCAAGGTCTTGTAACCGTCTCTCAATGGTCGTCTATAAATTATAGATCTCACCATGTACAACATTGCTCATTAAAAGAAATAAAACTAGTTTTTATAATCATTGTATTGCTTACCTTAACAGTAAACATTTCTAGTAATTTTCTATCACTGTCCAAAAATGTTTTAACAACAAACTAGAATATTATATAATAATATAAGAAAAACAAAATATCAGATAGGTTTTGTGGATATTATAGTAATTTAAACGGGTAAGATCATGAGTTAGTTTATGCTAGACCATCATAGAAAACCTGGAAGCACTGGATGGCCATTTCGTCCTACTGTTGGTCTCCTCAGCAGTGCGCATCCATGACCTCGCTCCCTGCGAGATTCGAACCCAGGACCTACTAGTTTCACGCGCGAGCACTTGACCATCAGACCACTGAGCCGGCATCCAACGTAGGAGTTCTACAATAGGACGAAATGGCAGTCCAGTGCTTCCAGGTTTCCCGTCGTGGTCTAGTTTCAACTGACTCATGATCTTAACCGTTGAAAAAACAAAATATGTTTAATAAGAAATTAGATTACGTAACGATCAAGAAATAAGATAAGTGATTTTCATAAAATGATGATTCGATTAAAGTTAGATCATTATGAAAAACCTGAAAGTAATAAATGCTTGTTTTATTGTAGTAAGGGACTCTTTAAGCAGTGTGTATCCAAGTTCTCGCTCACAAGATTCGAACCCATACTAGGATGAAATGGCAGTTGAATGCTTTCATGTTTTCCATGGCGGTTTAGCTTTAATTGAATTTAAAGTGATTTTTCTTTTCAGATTTCCTCAATGATACTGTACATACTCCTGTTATCCCTCATGAAAGAACATCAGCCTCCCATCAGCATTCTCCATCCAATTCTGTCCCAAGGGATCCTTCCCAGTTGTCTCCAGTTGCTATTCGTCTTTTTCATGTCTGCTTACAATTCACAAAGCAGTGTGTTCTTTGATCTTCCTCTTTTCCGTTACCTTTTAGGATTCCACCTTGCTTCTCACTTCGTGATGCAGTTTGATGATTTCCATAATGTATGTCCTATCCGCTTCCAATGTCTCTTCCTAATCTCCTCTTTAGTCAATGGTACCGTATTACAGTGTAAATGTATGGTTTCTACCTAATTTTATCACTGAGAACTTTTATTACGGTAACATCTTTGATATCAGTTTAGAAAAATCATACTTTTTAATAATATCAGTAAAGGGTTATAGAGATTGATGAGTTTAGATTGATATCATGAATAGATGAATGTTAGACCACCATTGAAAACCTGAAACAAATGGATGCCCATCTCGTCTTAGTATGGGACTCGTCAGCAGTGCTCACACACGATCCCACACGCAGCATTCAAACCCAAAGCATTCATTCTTACGTGCAAACGCTTATTCTCTAGACCAATAAGCCAGCCCACAGAAGTGTTAATGTCTACTTTCAACCAATCTATGATATTGTGTGACTGTCCACCATTGTCTTCAGTGAGTAACTGCCTCTACAACAGACACAATTGAACTTTAAGAATTACGGCTTCTGACTAGAATTCCAAGAAACTCATCATGAAATCAGTCACTAGTAAGCACATGATAGAATATTAGTGTCCTCTTTGTATTATTATCTAATCTAAACTAGGTATAATGTCAAGACAAATCTTTAAAGCAGAACGATCAATGAAATTTTCGCGCAGACTATTTAGAACAGAATTTAAATAACAATACATATATTACTTAAAAAATGATTCTCCTTCAATTAAAGTTATAAATTACGTAAGGATTATAAATTATTGATACATTAACGATGATTTAAAAAAGAAATTAGACAATGAAGGGAAGTTTATTGATAAATTGTTACGTCAACAATATTTGGATTAGTATCAGAAGGGATTTTGTGGAGATTGTAGTAATTTCAACCCCTTTTGATGCTAACCAATATATGCTCACTAGTGACTGGAGTTCTAGTGAGAAGCAGTGACCAGTGGAGTTCAACCGGGTTAGTTGTGAGGTAGTAACTCACTGATGACAATGGTGGATATGTCACTCAATTTCGTGAATAAGTTGAAGTTAGACATTAACACCGTTGGATGCCGGCCAATTCAGTAGTCTAATTGGTTAAGCGCCTGGCGCGAGGCTGGAAGATCCTGGGTTCGAATCCCTCTTGCGGGATCGTGGATGCGCATTGCGGAGGAGTCCCACAATAGGACGAAATAGCCATCCAAGTTTTCAGTGGTGGTCTATCATCATTCGATTCATGATTTCAATCAAAAAAGTTATAAATTTCTTATAAGATTTAACTTTATATCTTGGTAATCAGTGTATTAATCAATTCAGTTATAACATATGAAATTTCAATTCGTTTTAAGACATTTAAATAAAATAAAACATCAACTTACCGATATTAGAATCCCATTCATTGAATTGACATTTTCATATATTATGCAAATAATCACTGTAAATTAACAAAATAAACTAATATACTTTCACAATTGATCATTCATTAATTTGAAAGCATCGAAATGAATGGAAAACACATTCTACAGGATAATCTAGTACAAAATCTATTCATAATAAAACACATAATTGTGTTGTCTTCAACTTTAATAATGAGGCAATATCATGTGATAATAAGTAAGTATATATTTATTAGTTTATTCAATTTGAAGATGATGTTTAATGGATAAAACTCCGCTTAGAGCCCCCTGGGGCTACTGTCGTTCCTAAGCCCGGATAAACAAAGAGGGTTGAAAAAGGGGTTAGTGGTCACATGCCATAGGAAACTAAGTAGTTATTAACGCTTACCAGAAAGAATAATTCAAAATATTTAAACTCTGTCCTGGGAGTTAGAAAATCTTCATTTAGAAGAGCTATGACGTCTCATGATGAATGCCGAGGTCCTTCGAGAGTCACGAGGCTGATGCCCCTTTTGACAACTAGAGCAACCATTAATTTAGGTAGATTGATCACTGGACTATAAATTTTAATCCAGTATTGATTGGAAAGTGTTGAAGAGATAGTTATCTTCTAGCTATTGGAAGAAGCATATAAAAATGATAATAAATAGTGCTTAGAATCCATTAATTAAAAGTAAAATTTAATTCATCTAAGTTAAACACTTATTAAGCACAACGAATTAAAACACTCAATAGTGTATCTTTAACATCGTAAAATGAATGTTTTACACAAGTAGATCTGTATAAATTTTAATCACGTATCCGGGAAGCATTATCGATAAACAAGGAGGATCTGATACAGACGTGAAGATGATAATTGAAAAGACGAAAGCCAAATTTCTACACTTCAACAACAATTGTCAACCCACACCAAAGTCATAATTTTTAATACGAACGTCAAGATAGTTCTATTGTATGGAGCCGAAATTTGCGTATCAACTACTATAACCATCATCAAGAAGGTACAAAATGCAGAGTGTTCTGAATACTCTAAGCAACAATGCAAATATGTTCGGGATTCGATTCACTCCCTCGAAATGCAAAATGTTACTTCAGGATTGGGTTGCAGCGACACTCGAACTAATGATAGGGAGTGAAGTAGTCGAGCGTGTCGACTGCTTCACTTATCTTAGGAGTCACGTCAGCCATTGTGGTCTAGTGTGTGACGAAATCTCAGCACAGATACGGAAGGCTCAACAAGCTTTTCCCAACTTGCGTCATTTATGGCATAAGCGAGATATCCATCTACCAACCAAAGGACGCGTTTACTGCGCAGCAGTTCGTTCCGTCCTACTTCATGGCAGTGAAACATGGCCGGTAAGAGTAGAGGATATTAGTAGGTTACTAGTATTTGATCATATGTGTCTTCTCAACATTGCTGGTATATACTGGGATTTTCGAGTAAGTAACTCAGTTGTTAAGAAACGGGTACTAGGTAAGGATGGAAAATCAATTGATGACTATTATTCTGAATGATTAATTTAAAACAAATTCTAAACATTAATAAGTTCTCAGTTATATGTATCCATAAAACTCCATTTATGTTGTTAATCATTTATAACACTCAAAGAGGAGAGAGTGGTCTAGTGGTTAAGCGTGAGCAAGACTGATCGGTCTTGGGTTCGAATCCCGAGAGGCGGGGTCATGGATGCATATTGTTGAGGAGTCCCACAATAAGACGAAACGACGGTCCAATGCTTTCAGGTTTTTTCATGGTGATCTAGCTTCAATTGACTCTAGTTAGAATTTATTGATTTTCTGAGTATTACATTACGTTTAAATGAATAAACTTAATATTGAATAGAAAGTAATTCAACTCTTTAAAATGGTTTTATATTAGCTGATTATTAGTTGCCATCGAAACAATTTGTTGAAATATGTGAACTCATTAGAAAAAGGCATTGCATTGCATTCATGTATTGGTAGGTTTAATGAATTTGGTCTTGATTATTGTTTCAATAAAATTCAGTTCAAGCATTTGACATGGTATCTAATAGAATGAATGATTTTTTTTCTGGTTAGAGTTTTTTTACCCAGTTAGTTTTCTACGGGATGCGGTCGCTAACCCCATGCCTAACCCTTCTCCTTTATTCAGGCTTGGGTCCGTCGGTAGCCCCCGGAGGGACTCCGTGCGGAGTTGTATCTAATAGATGATGTATGTTATTCAGTAGACAATTTGAAGTGTTAACTTGATTAACCATTGATTGTCAGAGTATGATGTTCATGGTAAAACATTAGAAAATGTGATTTGATTTATTTTGAAATTCTTCTATAATTTACATACTAAGAAGTGAAATCGTCAATGTTGATTTAGTTGTATAGAGAATTATATGAGATGTTATCTAATGTAATTATAAGATGGTGAAGAAGATTTATAGCTCAAGTGAATGATTTTGATGGAGTTTTGTTCTCTAAGCTGGATGGTTTTGTCGTGGAACTTTCATCGTTCATCTGTACGACACCATTAAAAGAAATTTCAGGTAGAAGTGAAGTAACTCATAACTTGTCCTGTAGACCTCGATGTTGATTAGTTCTTGTTAACCTTAAACCTGTCATTGTTTACTTCTTTGTTTTGATTATATCCCCTATTGATTTAACTTTTACCTGAAGTTTCTGTTGACGATGTCGTTCAGGAGAACGATGAAAGTTTCACAAAACAATCATCCAGCTCAGAGGACAAAACTCCATCAAAATATGACCATAGATTATCATTTTATTCATTGAGAAGAATAATAGTAACTATCAAAATATGTAAAAGCACCTTCAGCCTGTATATTTATAGATTTAATCAAACGTAATTATAAATCAACAAACGAATTAACTAAACTAACTATAACTATAAATAGATCTCTTTTTACTAGTGTTCATCTTCTGTTATCATTTTGAAATAAATTAGGTCTCTTAAAGTTCATTAATTCATTGTAAATATTAAGTTAATACCTGAAGTCAATCAGTTACAACGTAGAATCAGGCATATTTATATGCATCGGTCCAAGTTGCCACACCTTACTCATTAGCACAAGAAGATAAACACCGTATTCATAGAAGCACTTAAGGATATAGTTCAGAAAGAAAGATTTAGGTCGTAGAAAGAAGGATATAAAGAGATTTTAATCTCACGATTTAAGGGAAGACAGAGAGTGTATACACCGACGCCATTATGATCGATTCTGAGTCATATCATCCACAGTCTCCAACTATTGGTTATCATAATTGCGCGAACCCCAACCAAGTAGTCTTCATCTACCAACATGGTTAAGACTAGAAGTTAGTAATTTCAAAGACTGATGCCATGTTTTGAATTGGTCACCCCTAACTTTCTTCCAATCATCCCCAACACTAGTCTTACATTACGCATCGTGATAATCGATAAAATACTTAAAGTAGTATTAGGAATAACTTGAAAAGAAAAGAAAAACGGAGGAAAACACACACACGTAGGATGAATACATACCTTTGTAATTGTTCATTGAATTGTAGTGTCATTTTCATCTTAGAACATTCTTTATATTTATGATTATTATATGAAAATAACCATGATGAATTGTGGAATCGAAATTTTCTTAAAAAAATTTTTACGATATTGTGAATTATTTTTAGTTGTTAATGAATTTTCACAATTAATCATATTTACTTAATGAGGAGGATAAAATGGAGGATGAGGAGAAGGAATAAGGTGTAGGCAGATGATCATTCGTTGATAATCCAGATATTGAATAAGTTACCGATGAAGTTGTCAACGGCACGTCACATGAACCTGATCCTGATAATGATGCTGATGATGAAGAAGGTGATAATGATGATAATGACAAAGATTTTCTGCAAAAACATAAACTATCTTCGTTTAATAGATCCTTTATTCATTTAAAGTATTATATTGTTGTTGTTCTTTATCATGAATATATTGAATTGTTTCAAATGAATTTTTACTTTAACTCTTTAATTTGTTCTATACATGACAATAATTCGAATGATTATTCTTCACATGAATCATTTATTTTATAACATTTGAACTAGAATAGTGGATTAAAACTATAGTCAATCACTTCGTTTACTATAGATGACATGTAACTAAGTAAGTAAGTAGGTAGGTAGGTAGGTAAGTATAGTTAGGTAGTTTAATGCTGAAAGAACTCTTTTATAAAATGTAATGAATATACACCTATTTGATCATCTTCAAAAATGGTTTTGTTACTAAGTGATACATATGCATACTTACACACTTACATAGATATATGTACGTATGTATGTATCTATGTATGTATGTGTGTATATATATTTGTTGATCAGTTTTTACATAGAGATGGTTATTGATTGTTTCTAAGTGAGAAAATAATGATGATTATTCTATGAAAGTGAATAAATTGTCGAATAGACAGACATATAGTAAGACATATTCATTCATGATACCCTAACTACAATTTAATACTGATTGTATATTTTTATGTGTAAACGGAATAAAGGTAAATGAATAGATTTAAACAAATTAAAACATACCATTTAAAGAAGAAATGATGTCAAGAAATAAGTAATTGAAATTTTAAAAATTTAACGCCGCCTGAAACTCTCCCCCCACACACACTCTGTGGTTACAGCCGGTTTCAAGACCGGTTAAAGGAGGACGGTTTGACATGGGGGTTAGTGACGGTATCTCGCAGAAAACTAACTCGTTAAAAAAAAATGCTAATCAGATAAAAAAAATAATTCAAATTGAGACTTTAATCAGTGAAAACCAGAAATGATTTCATAACCGTTGGAAATAGAAATTATTGAATACTTATTCAGTGATTTGAAGGTTAAGCACTTTTTACGAAGGGATCTTTGAAATAATAAAAAATACATGTCTAGTACATTCTGATTTATATTGATTATCTTTATTTATTTATTTGAACACATAACTATTCGTATAAAGGGGAACGAGATACATATGTGTGTGGATTATGATACTGCTCAGGTGACCAAACCAAAGCAGGTGGTTGTTTTAGGAGGCCACACTAGGATTAGACCTTCAACTTAAAGCTCTAATTCATAAGACAGTACATCAACGTTAGGAGATGCAGTTTCATGGTATCGGATGACTAATAATTGGTTCATACACCATTTGTACCCTCAGGATACTGGAGCCCATATACACCATTGGTTTGGAATCAGGGTTTTTCAACTCCCCTAGGTGGATCTTCTGTATCTACCTACCGGATTAAAACACCGGACATTCGCTTTTGGTTCTCTCAATTTCATAAACAACACCGGTGCCGCGAGGAGTCAATGAGTAGGACTTCCTTAGCAGTGGCTGTATATGAGAGCATTCGGGGAAGGAGAGCTGACTCTCCCCACCCTAGGCCGTACCAGGGTATTTGGAGGCAACTGA